TTACAAATTCTGGAATTAGTATATATATATATATATATATAATGTATATTGCTTTGTTTGACATGATTTTGTTTCTATCAAATGTTGGATTCTGAAAATCAATTTTCTATATACAAAAGTCCAAGGATTGTAGGGAATCAAATAGAAAATACAAAATTGAACTTCTCCTTGGTGCATTTGTCATCCAACCTATATTGATATAAGGTTTTATCATGAAGTGAAGAGGATCACCATTCTTCATTTAGTAGCCCTGAGGTTCCCTCTAGATAAATGCATATCTAAGGCTCTGTTTGGTTGAAAGTAGTTGTTAGAAAAAGTTTGCTTTCTAATTTTTACAATTATAAGATTGTTCCTAAAAGCAAGTACAGGATTTGATAATATATATATATATTTATGAAACAAGTATCTTCCTAGAGTATCTTCAGAATTTTAAGGATGTGAGTGGCTTATATAGGGCTGTCATGTCTCATGGGGTAATCCGTATACCCTGCTTGAAAGTTTCTCTTTAGAAAAATTATATTTATTTAAAAATATAAAATAAAAGGGGCAAAAACATTTTGGTGCATAGATATATTCCTTTAGTTTTTGAATTTTGAACATTATTTTTATGTCTATAGTAAATAAAGAAATATCTCTTTAATTTTTAATATAAAAATATAGTAAAAAGATTCCTAGAAATCACACATTAAAAATTATTTATAAATATCAACAGGGAATACCATATAATAATTTTTTTGTAAAAGATAATTTCAAAAACATAAGAGTAATTGTATCATGGCTTGGGATTCCTCAGCTCTAAGAGTCTACACCACCTTTTGCCCAAAGAAGCAAAGTTTTGAACTCCAGTATCTGCACACCAAATTCTCTTTGCAAATTAAAACTATTCTGAATTGGTGAAAAAATGATGATACTTGTTATATACTTGGAATGGATTTCAATATCTTTTTTAAATAAAAAATATTTTAAATATACGGAGTTTACATATAATATAACAACTATTTTACCCTAAATAGAAAAAAAAAAACAACAATCTTTTTAATAAATAATAATATTTTTTGTTAAAAATCTTGCTCAACCAAATAAACTCTAAACACACACACATATGTACATCATCTTTGACACTACTTAAACTTCATGTGCTATAAATTCAAAATGGGAAGAAAATAAATTAAAAATATTATATATGTATATGTATAGAGAACGTATCAACATAATCTTTTAAAATAATTAATCCCCTAACCAAAGGGGAAATTAAAAATGCGAAAAGATGCACTTACAATGTAATTTGGGTTCTGCCTTCGCACATGATTCCGAGCAAGAATCCTACATTCATATACATACAAATGCATTTATATTAGCTGCCGAATCGTTCAATGATTTTTAAATGATGAAATATATAACCACACGATAAATACACTGCAGGTTAATATGGTAATAATATACATATACTTTTTATAATATTAGAACATAAAATGTTTCTTAATACAACATATTTAATACTAAAACATGAGTATTTCAAGATTTAGTCACCATCTGAGAGTTTAATAAAAAATCATTTGACCTCATTTTGTAATTATGAAACTAATTCTAAGAATTTATAGCGGTCTCAAATAGACATTATTTAAACATATTCGAGTAATCCCATAATCTCATAGTGGTCTCAAAATTTAATTTTAATTCTACGAAATCAACACTGTTTGAAAGCCTTTGCCATAGTCTTATAACTAGATATGCGATAGTAATTTCAAGATCTAAATGCTACTTTAAGACATAAAATTACTTTAAAGTTGCCATAAAATCTTATTGTTCTTCTATAAGTTCAACACCCAGAACATTATCCTATAACTCTTTAACATTATTCTTGAGTCCTAACACTATTCACCTTGATTTTAAGAAAATTCACAAGAACATTTCTAATAATTACCTATTTTCATCTTGGTTCGTGAAAAAGATAAATAACAAGATTGACGTTATGCAAACTATAATATTAGTTGACAAATTGGAAATTTTAAGGCAATTATATATATATATATATATGTCATACTGACCTACACTGTCGTTGACAAGAATGTATACATACAAAAATAGAATATATGTATGGGAGCAGTAATAAATAAAGGTTACTTGAGAAGAGGTGGCAAGGCGAAGGGTGTCCTGGACGAGTGAGTCAAGATGAGCTTCATATCCTGGTTTGACATAGATAACCTGCACAAAACAAGTTACTTATATTTTTTTTATGCTCAACGTATCAAATCTTTTGATTCCTGAGAATAGAATTAAGGAGAGGAAGACTTAATGATGGATCATCTCCACCAATTTCCGGCAGTTGAATTTCTCCGTCATCTTTGCTCGACGGTAAAACCCACACCTTGAAGTTTGTATCAATCTGAAATCACCACATTACCATTACTATTTTATCTTACAATAACAATAACAATAATAATAATATATTGAATCGATATTATTATGAACTCTAGGATATAATATATTGAAAAATTTTATATAAGATGAGATATCTATTTAATTTATGTAAAATACCTGTCTGCAGTATGGAGCAAAGCAGTTGCTACACTTTCTGGTAAAGGATGTAATGATCCTTCCGTCTACAGAGAGCCCAAAGCTGGCATGCTGGATAATTCATATATATATATATTATTTTTTATATAAAAAGAAGAAATAATAATAAAACCAACAACGATAAAAATAATGAAATACCTTTTGGATGCAGAGGTTGATGGAAACCATAGCATCTGGATTATGTTCATCTTCAACCAAATCTTGTAAGTTGAGTTCTTGTAGGGAGAGAAGGTAATCATAGCTCCATTTCCCATGCCATTTCCCGTCCGATGTGGATATTGTGATCAGACGACTGGGACTCTTCCATTTGGCACTCTGTCATACCAATTATACAATGCCATGAAAATTACATTTTATTAATTAGATTATATTTACACGAGAAGTATATGTATTATACTACCAGGGGGTACGCATATTTTCTTGAAACGTAGCGTATTCTGGGTGAAATCAGAAAGTTTACTGAGGAATTCTTAGTAGCTGGAAATGGATTTAGGTTTCTGGGTGACACCAAATGAGATGCTTCTGCCATGGATCAGTTTGTTTATTAGCTCAGAATGGTAACATGGGGGGTGTAATAGCCCAACCTTCCTTATCTTCTGTTTAAGGGGAAGACGATAGGGACTTTTGTGGGCATGCAAGTTCTTGTCCGTACAATAGATGTTTTCTACTTACTCCTCTTTTCCCTTTTCATTAAAAAAACGCCTAAACACTTTTTTCTTTTGTAAATATTTTTTCGATTCTTATTATGAAACTGTATTATTATTAATATATACAGATGTAACTTAATAAATTTTTATTGAAAAAAGTACTTAATAATAATATAAGACAAAGGATGGGCTTTTCTCCCTCTTCCACAATCTTCTTAATGCTTAGATTGACAAGATTTCATTCAATGCTTATTACAACTAGTAATTCACATGCCAGCATATTTTGGAAAGCCCAGATACAGCTCTAGACCATTTACTAATTTTTTTTATTCATTGTTTCTCCCAGTTCCCATCTTCTCCTTCAACCAAACAAAAGCTGAAAAATGTAAAAAACAAATATAGTGTTCTTGTAACATTCCCACTGTCAATACACCCGACTGTTTCAACAAAATTTTTTATAAGAAGTTTCTTTCTGAAGAGTGTCCTAAAACTATGAGCCAGAGGCTGATAATGATCCAGAAAAGAACTAATCAATACTAAGGGATATCATCCTCTCAACAGATATAAATAATTTATATATATATATGCGCTTCTCACTTTGTGTGTCTCTTCTGTGAAGTCCTCCAGTTGGGCAAGTACCGCAAAATAGAATATGGACAACCAAAAAAACGAAAAAGATTTTGGCAATTCCTTTCTCCTTCCCCCGAACTTAAATGGCTCAAGTAGGTTTTTCCTTCATAAATGTAACAGAGTTGCTGCCATAGAAGAACGCTTAACCCAATCTCAACAGAGAGGCTTGCAACAAATAGGTAAACAAGAACAATCCCTCTCATGGATAGAAGCACAGCAGAGCTTAGAAAAGCTATTATTACCTCCTTAGCTGCTCTCAGTAACAATTCACCGCTCAATCCATATAAGCGGACAGGAGATCTATATCCTACTGGTGGCCAGATATGCATGCCTGCATATGCAGACATGATGGAAGCATAAATAGTACTTATGATGGCTGAAATGAGAAACGCAATGAAATGTCGATGATTAGCTGCACCAACACAATTCCCAATCTGCATTGCATCATAAACCAACAATTAACTCTCTTACTAGCTCAACATTCTAGCTGGATCTAGGAATTAAATTAACATTCCAAACTCTTAAGTTAATTGCATGTTCGAGTTAACAAACGAATTGATACTGGGCTTGAAGTTTAAGAACTATTAAATAAGAATTTTTTTTTCTCACATTGTCATATAATATTATTTCAACATTAAAAGAAAAGAAAAAAGAGGAACTCCATCCAGTCTCTCAAGACCAGCAGAACGTGGAATTAATTTCCCTAAACAAAGACACTAGTATGAACACATGCATGCAGTGTTTCCATTCATATTATGCAAAAGTTAGCAAACTGATCTGAATTTAGGTCCAAAAAAATAGTTGCAGTTTGGGGGTTACCCCTCTGTTGAAAGATTACAAATAATGACAAAGGGGCAGTGGTAATGTTCCCTGTTGAAAGATTACAAATACTTACAAAAGGGCAGTGGTGATCCATGTCCAGTACACACATTCCACATGAACGACAGTGATGAGTTCTAGGTGACTTTGGCTTGGAACAAGAGTGGCAGAATGTATAGTTCTCAAGGCCACCCTTCCCCACAGCTGGGTAGCTACCCCAGAGAATACTTGGCGGTGTACCAGCACATCGGAATGCTGCAAGGCTGAATGTTGAAAGAGTTGATATGGCCAAGAAAATTGTTATAATACTGTGAAAAATCCCATAAAAGTAGCTGATAGAAAAGACAACGGGATATACTGCCCACACGCCACCACCTGCACTTTCAGATAAATGTATTAATGAGATTTGATAGAAACTTAAATAATATAGGATGTCATAATCTTTAGCAACTTCTGCAAAGGAACTTTTCTTAAGGAAGGAAGATGGCATGTAGATAATAAGGATCAAATATGTGATAAAAACAACATCAGTTAATAAGAAACAAAATTACGTGTTAATACAAAACCTTTTTAAACTAAAGTATCCTCATGTAAAGACTTCTGATTTTCAGAACTTCAAAGAAGCTAAGTGAACAAGAGAATCAATCAAGCTAAAATATTTTAGAAATTAACAAGAAATATGGCTCCAACAATTCTTAAATATACTAGAACTGCCAAAATATGAAAGATAAAAGCACAAAATAAAGTCATGGTTTAACATCTTGCACCAGCTCATATTGACACCAGAATCTTGTTCAAGAAGTGTTTTTGTGCACAAGGAAGAGGCCAGCATGCAGGGACTGATCTATCTCAAGAAGTATTATTGCAAGACAAAATAATAGTTTTGATAATGCTTCTCTTTAAGTACTGAAAAGGTATCCCCTTTCATCAGAACATCCATGATTGGAAAGAAAAGCCTGTGGCTAACTTTTTTTTTTCCCAAAGTTGCCACATAGTGTAGATAATATATGGAGAAGGATGGAGACTGGAATTAGACAGAACTGTTAAAAGTAATGGGACCTTTGATCTTCCTTTGGATTTATATGACTACGAGCTCAAACAAATTCTCATGGAATTTTATTTGGAAGAGAAAGAAACCCCCATATACGGTGTTCTCTCCTTGAGAAGCAGATGGAAGCGTGTTCCAGTCACTGCAACTTGAAGAAGATAAGAAAGAATACAGCAAATGGGCACCATTTGCATCAAAGAACAGTAAGACCTAAAGGCATCTTTTTATGTGGTGCACTTGGATCTGGAAACTATAAGACATGCTTTTATCCATGGTTTGCTTGAAAAGGATAGTGGCTGGTTCAATGATGGAAGAGTGTGAGCATGGAAAAGGATCGAGGACACCTAAAAAAAAGTAGAAATAACTAGTCCATCTTTCCAATTTTTCCAATCATTTTGAGGGAGAGGAACAAGAGGACTTTAGAAGAGAAACCATCTTTCAATAGGGTCCAGGAAAATTACTTCCAGGTTCAGCAGTCAAACTCTCTAATGAAAGGTTGTAGATCTTTGGAACCTTTTCATTTGAATTTTAGAATACCTATATTTATGAAAAAGGGAAACAACCCTTGGCTTTGTAAATAATACTTCTTTTTTCATTTGAAAAAATGAATTGACAAAAATATCTACATAACTTTTCAAAAGAATCTATCAATATAAGCAATCCCACTAAAGATTTATATTTATAAAATGACCATAACACAAAAAGAAAATGTAAAATAAATGTTATATATACATCTGCATACATAAACGCTATTGGAACATTCAGCATTGGCCATAAAGGTCATGAGGGACTAAGTATATATATACATATACTATTGCAACATTTAGGATTGGCCATAAATGTAACACCCACAATTTTCCCTTTGGTGATTAAAAATTAATAAATATAAATTTTTATTAATTTATTTTGTTTTATTGTATTTTATTTTATTTTATTTATAATAATAAAATAAAATAAAATTTATGGAGAATTTAATTGAAAACAATTTTGGAAAAAAGTGGTGAAAATTTAAGTTTTTAGAATATTTTTGAAAAAAAAATCAAAAAACAGGAGTCAAAACGTAATTTTGAAAAATTTTGCCACGTCAGACGCCGATCAACAGCCTAAACCAACCAGAACACGCCAAGTGGCAGAGGCGCTGACGGGGGAGGCCACGCGGGGGAGCCACGTGGGCGATCTGCGTGCGTGCGATTGAACGACTGAGGTCCGTTCCCGCACGCACGGACGGCTTGGATGCGCTCCCTCCCAAATGCAATCGAACGGCCAGATTCAAACACGATCGGACGACCCAGAGTGAATCGCGATGAACGGTTCAAATAAAAAACGGATGGATATAAATAACCCTCATCCGCACTAAACCCTAACCCTAGCCGACAGAACCCCTTGCCGGAGATGACGACCCAGCCACCGGAAAGCCGACCGCCGCCACCCACCACCGCATCGGAACTCTTTCCGACCGCCAAAAAAGGTAAAAAAATTTCTTTTTGCACGAAATTCAATTTTAAACTCACCCATGCCCAAATCGAAATGAAAAGACCGGCCAATTGGCCGGAAAACACTGACGAATCCCGGCGGCGCCGCTGTGGGAAATTTCACAAAACGCCTCCGATGAGGCCCTTCCCAATTTCCGTTTCGCGTAATTTTTCCACCATTGTGATCACCGTTTTCTTCTCTACAAGTTGACCAAAGCGAAACACCCAACCACAACGTGAGCCGGAGGAGCCGCCGCACTAGAGAGCTCTGCCGCCGCACCGGAGAGCCCCACCGCCGGTGATTTTCAGTTTTTCGTGTTTTTTTCGGCCAACCGAGACCCTCTAACGTGTTTGCTAGTAGGAATCAATGCAAAATTGGCCGAATTCGGCCAAAAACCGGCCGATCCGAGGCGAACCACCATCGCCGGAGCACGGCGAAGCTGCCGTGCCAAATTTCCGAAATTAGCCGAGTGAGCCCTGGAACTGATTTTGGATTTATTTGGAACATTTGTAGGTACTATAAGTGCGTTTCAGTTCCCGGAAAAAAATTCAGGAAACCTAAGGACCATCCGTAGGTGCAGTAAACCGTTTAGCTTTTCGACGTCAAATCGATTAAGGATCCATCACCCTATTCCCTATCATAAAATTGAAGTTTAAATAAATAATGATACGGTATTTTCTACAAATTAAATAGATGTGCATAATTAATTACGGATTACTAATGGAACCCGAACCGAAAATTGTTCTCTGTTGATTTATTTTACGGTCTAAAAGCATGATAGTATCTGATTTATCTATTTTATGGTTTAAATGCATGTATTGCTGTCTTACCTGACTACTGTTTGATTTGATATTTGAGACATGATTGCATTACCTGATACATGTTTATTTGTTTATGTAATTATGTTTGATTTGATAATGGAAACTAAAGAAAAACAAGAAAGTGGTGTGATTAAATAAACAGATAAAACGACAGCCTTACTAAATATCCTGAGAGATGGTGGACGGGCTGGTTACATAGGAAACCCTACCGTGAACGTTGTCTCATACTGAACGGGGTATGAAGACTTCGTAATTTGGTGCTCATACCGAACAGGGTATGGGGACGGCCCACTTCATCCTCATACCAGACAAAATATTGAGATTTAATGTTTTGGTGCTCATACCGAACGAGTTATGGGGGCGGCCCTGTAATTGAGATTATTAAAGGAAAGAGTTCACATGTAACGAGAACATCCTTATGAACCCCTATGGATACTAATAGGCTGGTGAAAAGAAAAACGGTTATAATTTGGTCTATTGTTAATGGATATAGGTTTATGATATGTTATATGTTACTGATTGTTCATGAAGTTATGAACTGTATGGTATTACTATCTCTATAGCTTGTTTTCATAAATTCTACTATAGTAAGTGAACGGTAAATGGTTTTATGATTGATAAATGAAATTGCTAAATTTAGCACTCCATTAGTTATTTTCAATTTTATACCAACCATTGTTTCTGTGCTGGTGATATAGTGTGATATTCTTACTGAGTTAGTGTATCTCATCCTTTATTTAACCATTTCAAATCAAAAGAACCAAGTTTCAGAGCCCGATTCGCAAGAAAATTGCGAGTAAATGCTAGATATTTTCTATTTTTTATTTGTTTCCGTATTTCTTGCGTTTCTTTCAAATAATAAATTCCGTAATACTGTTCAGTACTTTTAAATTATTGTGTAAGGAATGTAAACCTTAACCTTTTATTTCGCTTCCACATTTAAGTTATTATATATTTTTTTTTGGATTTCTGGAATCGTTACAATAAAGGTCATAAGAGACTAGTTTCAACTGTTGCTGATTAAACTGTGTGAGATGCTGAAATATCTAGGAATCTTAATGAATGGGAGGAACAAGGTCCAAGGAAGACCAGTCGGTTTGGAAGATCCTGAACTTTGAGAGGACTACGAATGTAGTGTCTTTCTAGCTACATTTAGCACACCTTAACCCTAGTCATTAAAGTCTTTCTCTGTGAGCAAATCTAGAAAAAGAAAGTCTAGTCAGAATTGTTTTTTTTCCCCTTGAAAAGCAAAATGAGGAAGAATTCTCACCATCAGTAACTTGAGGAAGAGAGGAAAAATTCTAGTGAATGGTTATTACATCCACAAAAAGTGGCCACAACCTCAAGCCACCTACCTTTCAGGAGTCCTTCTCCCAAAGGCTTCAGTCTGCAACATTTGATTTCCTCAAACTGAAATGAGTTTGGTGATTCAATGTTTTTCTTTATTTTTGAGTAGGAAAGAAATACTATAGCAACCACGCCAAATGGCTTCCACCCACGTATGAAAGAGAGAAAAAAAAAAAATACAAGAGAGAATTAGCCAAAATATCAACAAGGTACCCTAGTTCTTCTCCATTAATGAGGGTATGATTTTTAGACAAAATACATAGGTCTGGAACCAAAGATCGGTGACCCTTGAAAAGCTAGATCGCTACTCTGAAAAAGCCTTCTATTCCCTTCACTCCAATAGTCCAAAAGATGGAATGAGGAATAAGGGCGAAGATGTTCTCCTTGGCTATGGCTGCATCCTCAACATCCCAAGCAAGGGGCTGAGATAGAACCAGTCACCACCCACTAGTTGGTCTATTCAGTTATTGATGAGAGCTTTGGGATCGCTGACATCTCTCATTCCCTTGGCTACTTTATGGCAATAACAAAAGAAATTTTAAGGGTGTTTGTTACTCTTTAAAAAAATTTAGATCTAATCTTTCCAAATATGTATTTTGTTTGAAGGTCATCTGCTTTCTTCTGTTGGGGGGAGACCTCATTGACATTTTGTCCAGTTTGTAATTCTCCTTTTCTTTTTCCAATATGAGTAGCATTCCTTGATACCCTGTTTTTAAATATCTTTCCTTTTAAGAAAAAGAGAGACCAGTCATATCTGTCATACCAGCCAAGAAAATGTATCTCAATTGCACTGGTTTAAAAAATCAAAAAGTTATGGGCTTACTGAAGACTTTGTAGGCCCCACATTTTCTTATTATAGTTTTGAGGTTTTGTCATCTACATGTTACAGTTACTCTAACCCAATAGATTTAATGCTCTTGATTACCCTTATTATATTCGGAGCTTTGAGCTTTCATGTTTTACAGTTACACCTGTAAATCTTTTTCCAAGTTTCTTACCAGCAACTCTAACATCCATTTCAAGGCTTTATCTCATAACTTTTGGAAGTTATGAAGACTCCCTCTAAACTTAAGTATTTTGTATGGACTACTATGTTGGGAGGATAAAAGAGAACAAGCTGCTGCCGAGAGGGGCTATCATTGTTAGTTTTTGGGTCATTTAGTTAGAACATTATGCAAGAATTTTTAAGCAACCCTTCAACTGTCTCATATGGCTTCATATAGAATTATTTTCTTTGCTTAACTTTGGACTAAATCCTACAGCTTCTTTCAAGGGATTCCTTTATCTATTTTGCAAATGGCTTATGTTCCTATTTTGCTTAAAGCCTTTTCTTTACTTTTCTGTATTTCTTTTTTCTTTTTGGTAGGAGGAAACCTTTTTATCTCTCTTATGTTATATCATAGTCCTTTCTTTCTTCAATAAATTTATTTTTCTATATTAAAATAAATATATAAATATGCACAAAAACAGAAGGATAAGAAAGCAAATATGAAATGCTATGACATATTTAAAAAATGGCATTGAGTTAGGAAATATACATATTACAAAGAGCATAAAACCGAGGAGGATACAGACAAAGCTCCGGTCACGCAAGCGTCTCCACCAAAACCACTTGTTTTCAGGTTTGTGCAAGTTTTGGTTTGTTATAGCTCCACACCAGCCACACTTAAAAATAAGTGCATATGACGGTAGAAAAAGCCGCATTCCACAACCCCAGCAAGTTGTCTCAAGATCCTCAGTGATGGTTGCTACATAATGCTCCTACATGTTAAGTTTCATGTTTATTACTTCTAATGATAGCCAAAAGAACAAGTCTTTGCTATAAGAATTAACTTGACAAAGTTAATGTTGATGATTTATACCCAACCTCATCTACAATATAAAGTAAAACCATCATAAACTACATTATTCATAAAAAAATTTAATTACCAATATTGTCACTTTCTTAACTATTTCCTCTTTAATGACATTTAGGTTTGCATTTGCATCACGACCTTTAATCAAGATCAGATTAATGTAGCATTCTCATCTAAGAGTTGGCATACCCATTTTATGGATCATTTTTCATGTTTAAGTTAAGAAAATTTTGCTTTTCCATGGATATTTAAGTCCCAAATGTTTAAAAACAATAACTTGAGGAAGCCTCAAAATGAGGCATCAATTAAATGATCCCTGCCATAAGGAACACATAAAATTATTCCATTTTTATTTCTTTTAAACTATTATATTGAAAATCATGAACTTATACAAACAAAGCATAAGTAAGAATGAATGTCAAAATTTAGTAGAAGAATGTTTCAAATAATGAATATATTTATAAACCATTGCATCATCAAATAATTTGCTTTGAAATAAGCTTAAAATCTTCTTTTAAAAAATTATTCTTCCATTTTAAAAAACAAAAAATGGCTAAGAAAGTTAAGGTCAGGAAAGCTATTATCTTTAATCCACATATTATGCCTTCACCTCTGAAAAATTTGCTATTATTTAATCCTTTAGGAAATTCTTTAAAAAAAACATTTTTATTGATTTAAAATTACAAAAGAACTCAATCTAAAAACATGTAAAATTTATGAGAATATATTGTTTTAAGATTAAACAAAAAACAAAGTCATCTTACTGAGTAGTGCACAACAATGCATGACTTAGGAAGGCAAAACCATTATTTAAGAACTAAACTGCTTTTACAAATATGTCAAGCATTATGAACATTTTTTTCTTTTTGAAATAAGCATTATGAACATAAATTACACTATTCAATCTTTTTTGGGTAGATATTGTATTATTCATCTTAAGCACAACTGCACAGACTCCACGATTCTCCTGTTTCCTAAGACCTACATCCACAGAACAAACACCAACTATTTTCCATGAGTTTAATTCTGATCAACTTAATGTAAAAGATATTTACTGGGCTTGAGCCTAAACACCTCAGACTAAATATATTTACTTGTGGAGTAAACTAGAACAACCCAAGTAAGATTGTTTAGCATGACTCAAACGAGCATGGATTCTATCTTCCTCAATACCTTGCATTAAGTATCCCATGATCTTAGACATTACTCAGAAGCCTATACAAATCCACTAGGATCTGATTCCGGTTGCATTCATGTCACAAGATTCTTACTTTACCCTTTATGAATCTGACACCTTTCTGAAAATAGACAACTAATAACAATCCATTAGCCCTTACTATATTGCTGATCCAGAAACAAGTTAAGAATATAAACCCCGTATCAAAGTAAAGCATCCCCGCTCCATCCTATCAGCTAGAGAGCTATCTATAATGGCAGAAAACTCTGCTTGAGTAGTTGTTTAAAACTAATTAGACTAAGAAGTCCATTATCAACTACAAAATCCCACAAGACTCACTCCATGCCAAAAAAACCCCAAAACATCCAACTTGTACATCATATATAGATGCTAAAGATCCTCCTCATGGCTGGATTAAAATAAGAACAATAGAGGAAAAAAAGCATAAAAGAAAATTGATGCACATGATATCCATAAGGCGGGTTTCACCATATTAGATAAGAAACTATGACAACAGTAAACCAGAGGATAAGAAACTATGACAACAGTAAACCAGAGGGGATTATACCTCTATCACCAAACAGGAAACTAGATAGTAGTCAAACAAAGTGAAGATAAAGAGATAATCGGAAGATCGATGATAATCCATAGAAAAAAGTCAACAGTAAACCAGAGAAGCTATAGAAATCGAAGAAAGGAGAAGACCTCGGAGGAGAGAGCCATGCTTCGCTACGTTCTTGAAGCTGATTCTCTACAGTGCAGAAGCAGACCACCGAAATTTCTAATTTAGTTGGAGAAACTGAAATTCCGAGAGCCGAGTCAAAGAGAAAACTCAGAGAAATGAAGAGAGCTTCTTCTTCTACTGGTCTTCCGGGGCAGTCGGGTAATTGGGTCGGATTCAAATTGGATTAAGGGCCGTTTGATTTGTTAAATCAATTTTTCATTTGAATCGTGATTATCCCAATTAGAAGATTATAATCATGAATTAGGTTTAGGGATCATGAATCACAATTTAAATTTCTTCATAATATTATTCTTTTTAATGAATTATATCATTAATTTATATTATTTTATACCTAATATACTCAGACATTAAGAAATGAATTAATATATAAATTTATTTAAAATATTTTTTTATCTCAAACATAATCTATATATCAGAAACTAATAATTCGTATTTTTTATTAAATTTTTATTTTATTTTTTGAATAAATTCATATTTTTTAGAGATTAAAATTTAAATATAATTTTGTTATCTTTATATAACATTAGAGATTTTAATTATATTATAAAATTAAAGAAAACATGACAACAATTTAGTAATGAAAAAACAAAATAAATAAAAGGAAAGTAGACAAAAAATCTTTTTCCTAAATTCATCTCAATCATAAGTCTCCTTACAACCCTTAATTGATTACAAATTAAATTAAATTATAAATTAAGAGTTATAAAATAGGAAGATATATGGTCATCCATAATCTTTGAAATTTGAAGAGTTCATAATACTCTCTATCGGATATTCATTTTAAATTTAAAAAAAAAAAAAACAAAATTGTTTCGTTAAAAATATTGTTAAAAAAATTCAGTAGAATAAAATTTTAGTTATAGGAAAAAATAATATAACATATAATAACTTTTCCTAATAAAAATATCTTTTTGTTTCTCTCAACTGAATAATATAAACTAATATTATATATTAATTTTTTTACATAGCAGTAGATAATAATTTAATAAGTAAATCGATTAGATTAAATTGCCTCTTGAATGATTTTGTTTAATTTTCAATATTGTCATTCATTTAAAGATAATGTGTAAAAAACTTTTTTAAAAAATATGTTTTATTATGTCATTCTTCCTTTAATTAAGTTACGCATACGACATTATTATTATAAAATATCATTGATACATTCTTTTTATAAGATAAATTATGTCTCTTAGATATGTTATATCATCAATCTCAAACATACATATATTCGATTTATTTCATGTACAACGAGTATTTCTTCATGATCTAAAGAAATAATTTTTTATTTTAAAAAATCATCACAATTTTGCTGTATCATTTTAAGTATGAACAAATTATTTGTTTGAGATCTAACGTTATGTGGATCAAATAAATACTTTATATTTATATAATTAATTAGTTATTATTTTGATCATTTTAAATAAAAGATTAAGTTATTATCTATTATTTCTCAAGAGATATCTAAATATATATTTAATTTTATCCCAACATATTTTAATAAAGAAAGAACTATCTTGTTAATAAATTTATAAAAATATTAACGCATAATTATATTTTATTAATAAATTTACAGAAAATATATTAATGTACCTGTTGCACTGAGATAAAGTACTTTTTGAACCAAATAATTTTTCATTATCCCCGTACCCTTGAAAAAGAATCTTTAAGCACATGGAGTGATCAAACAATAATGGGAGTATTTAATGGATGTGTTTTATTTATATAAACTTATTTTAATAT